TCTTATCAACTAATTTATAGTGGACAAAATTGTACCTCGAAGTCATTGGGTTATAAATAGATATAGATGTAACGAAACTTTTGCGCAATGGTGTGGGTCGTTGATAAATGGTGTCGAAGTTTTCCGATACTTTGACGGAGAGCTTCTTTACCGTCATGTATCATGACGTGGTGTCTCGATTTTCCACGATGTCCAACCTAAAAATGAGGGGCATTAGAAGGAGCCATCTGGACGTAGACACTTGGATGCCAAAGTATTTCACGGAACAGAGTTTCGAGACTCGGCTGCAATGCCGTCACGGCAATTTCTCTAGGGGATGGTTACTTACAGTGTTGGCTTAAACAACATACTTAACCGGGCTACTTAGTACTCACGGGCGCAGACGTACCCCTTGCAATAATAACATTTCACCCCCTTTAATCCGCAGCCTGCTGTTAGTCCTCGGCTAAGTATCTGTCCTCCTCCACCTCCTCCTCTTACCCTCCACTCTCGTCCCGTCGCTTTCCGGGGTGAAATCAAAACACGGAAAAGCCGATACAGTTTTGCGTAATACCTCTCGTCAGGAACTTCCTGAAAATGTTGTCGGTTCCGTTGCCGAGGGGTGAATCGCGGCAGGAAAAAGAGAGGGATGAAGGAAGAGCTACGCGAACGATTGTTTTCCGTACAAATTATCGACCTGACGTGATGAAAGTCTAATTAATTGGCTAACGTAACCGTGGTACGCCTGTTCAAATAAGTGGAATGTTTTTTTTAATAATTTATCAAGTTCGTATTTGAACATATATATGATGTTTGTAAAGAAATTTTCTATATCATTGATTAATTGTTGGTTGAAATTTCAACTAAAATCCTCTAGACTTTGGAGAACGTTACGTTGGTAGCATATGTACGGCCGAAGGATAAGATAACATGCAGTAGGCGGGCTATAGATTCCCATATAAGTTCTACAGAGTTAGGAGATACCCCATCGAACATAATACAGCATAAACCCCATAGTGCTAAGCGGCTTAGTACCTCGCAAGGGCAGTGACGCCTGACATATCCATATATACTGGTTCTAGATAGGTGACAGCTTTCAGACATAGATGTTCGAAAAATTTTTCTCGTTATTTAGAAAATTTCATCTCTTTGAAAAGCACCTATGCAAACTTAAACTAATATCTATTATTATTAATCAAATTTCGTTATAGATCTTCTTGTCGAAGAATATTTCCATATGTTTGCGTATTAAATTCCCTAAATTAATATAAGGGGTATCCCATGTAAATGAATTTGAAATTCATTATTTTTCACTTCACTAAGCTAAACGTTTGCCCCGACAATCGTGCACCGAGAGACGAAAATATTTCACGGCCAGTTACTTCAGTTAGCTAAATATTTTCTTTTTCCCATGAAGTTGTTGCGGGCCTGTAGAAGGGACCGAGGGGGATGACGCGTGACACACCCCCATTGAAATCTTATGCACGGGATATACTTAAATTAAACGTACGCCGGTGTCGCATTATGAGCCAGAATGGCAAGTTATATCTAACCTCTCATTAACCCCGTGTGAACTCGGATACGAGACCCCCCCGTTGAAAGCTGACACGTCGATTTTCGAATTCGAAATTTTCATTGGGGCTGGTTTATTACGGGTTACAGCCGGTTCACGAGACACCTTTTAAACGATCACGTTCAATGGACACTCTCTGGGTCCACGTAAAATTCTACGCGCGAAAAGACTGTTTACGTTGCGCAAAGGTTCAAGAAATCAAAGTATGAATCATCTTATGACGGGTCATTCCGCGTCGCTGTTACTTCTTTGCAACACAATACTGATTTCCCTGGACGCGTTTCCTTTTCTTCGCAAGTTCTCCTCGCACCCTTAAGCAGCTAAGAGCCCATGATCTCGGCTAGCGGGGCCCGGAAGAGGAGATGGAAAAATATAGAACGTGCACGAGACAAGAAAAGGAGAGGGGGGACAGAAAGCGTAAAGCCTGAAAAACTTCTTACCGCAACAATGGTGAGTAGTGATTTTAAAAAGATCCACCGAAGATTTACCATCACTTTCACACCTCTCCATGGCACCCCAGCGCCGGGGCTAAGACCTACAACAAATACCTGGTGGGCATCGTAATCTCACTAAGGCCTCCCATAGTGGGGCTCCCTTGTGGGCCCCCATTATGATTTTCGCGGCATTGTCACGGTGTCGAATCTGTCTACAAATAACCACTAGAGAAATGGTTACTCTGTCGATACTCTTTCTCTTCTCTTTTTCACCGATCCGTTTGCCGTTCTCTTCTATCTCTCTTATCCCTCTGTCGTCAACGATTACTTCCTCTCTGTCTAACCTGGTAACCTCTCGCCCTCGCTCATTCCGGCTCTACGCCATTCAGAATGGACTACATTATTTTGTTGTAAGGCCCCGACCACACCGTATTATCCTAACATCTAAATCCGGACAGCTGGATGTCTATCAGAGTCTCTCAACTAGACCTATCCCCCTGATGGTTAAATGCCATGTTTTCTACGCTTCGTTTATCTGGCCGGGCTGTGATAAAGCCGCGAACGGATAAAGCACGCGGCCCTCCCGATCGTTCGATAACGCGAAAAAAGAAGATTTTTTTTTTTTTTTCGCGACCGCTCGTTTTACCCGTGCCTCCTTCACCCGACGCGATGGATTAAAAACAGGCCAATGGTATTCAGATGGTGCGATATGGGAACTGGAGTAACTTTCCACCTGCGCGTACGATGCATTATTCATTATCCTTTTCGGTAATATTTGGATCGTTGATTCTGATGAAACACGAGTATAGTGAATTCGGCTTCTGTATCTCGGTAATTATAATCTTCTCGATTTAAGTTGCAAATATGCAAATATAAAAGAATCACGGGTAACAAGATTCTTAGATAATGTTTTAATTAATATTTTCGTTGACTTGTAATATCTAAAAGCTATAGTTCTCTCGCATCCGCTGTTTAATGGTTAGAAAATATGGTTACCTGGGATTGAGAACCACTTTCTAATGAATGTGCCAGAGGTGTCAGAGCAGCAACTGTCAAAACACGAGCGGCAAGACGAGACCGTGCCGTCGAATGGGCGACGAGGAGAGTAGACACCGGATGAACGAGAGGAAACCGAACGGCCGCCCTTTCTACGACATATTGGTGATGGTACCTTGAAAACGGTACACGGAACCGATGGGTATCGATAATCGCGACATTCATCCTTTCATTCTCCCCGTACGAAATTCTTTCGCGACTACGTATCCGATACGGGCAGCAACGTCGAAACGAGAGGCATTGTTCACGGTGCGTGTTTGTTGCGCAACGGTTTCCCCGCCTTCCGTTCGTTGAATAGCAGACGATGCTTATCAAGAAGGCCAGGACGGTTGTTTTTTAAAGGAACGAGGAGAAACCAGGAATTAATAACTCGTCATCGTTTAACGCTCAACTGTGTATTTTCGAGAGGATGAGCCACCTACCAAGGTGGGTGGATTCTGTTCTCACTTGCGATACGGTCATTTAGTTGTGATTGGATAGGTAATTAAATAGGAAGGAACTATTTCCAGAAAACATTGTTCTTTAACCCTCAGATCGCGGACCATAATTTTGTACTTCCTGTTATTTTCCTTTTCTAAACTTTATACTGTTCCTTTGAAAATTCTTGTAATATACGAAAGTCTTTCATTTAAAAATTATACGTTCAACTTCAAGTTAATGTTCATTTTAATTGAACTATGGCTTTTCAATTTTCAATTTTTACCAACGCCATAATATTATTTCTAAAATAAAGAAACTACAAATGTCCACGATCATCGTTAGTCGACGATCAGCATTACGCAACGAGACAACGATTGGCTCTCTCGAAATTCGTCCCTAAACACGTTTCTCTCAATGACTAGTTTCAATTACGTCCAACTTGATCGAAGTAATTTAGCAACTCTCCGGGTGAAACTCGTTCTCCGGCCGCAGAGAATATCTCCATTCTAGGTGCTCCCTAACGACTCCATCTTCCCGCGAAGAATCCACCCAGCTGTCGGGAGAAGTTTCTGTTAGGCGGTGAGAGACTATGGTGGAGTCGCGAAACGAACGAGGGAAACGGAACGGGATAGAGGAAGATCGCGACACGTGGAGCGGAAGGGTGAGAGAGAGAATAAAGTGAGAAAGGGGGGAAAAGAGGTGGAAGTGGTCGCATGTGGAAGCATCAAGCAGGGTGGAGTCGGTGACGAGGACGGTTTTAGGCGTGCGCTCTGGGCATATCGGCTTTTTCGAGAGTCTTGGTCGATGTTCCTGGTTCCTGGTTAACCCACGGGATCGGTTACAAGGCAACCCAGTCAGCCGATTGGTCCATTTTGTCAGCGACACCCGCCCACGCCACGTTATCGCGCAACTACTCTCTTCCTCCGGCTTCTGCTCAAACCTTCTCTCTCGCACTTTGCTCTATCAACGTATCTCCTGCTCTCTTCAACTGGCTGCAACCGTGTCGATAACCTTCCCCGTCGCCCTCTTCTCCTCTCTGTTCCTAGCATCCTCTGTTCGTTGTCCCTCCGGACGCCGCGGCGCGTTCGCGTTGACCTTCGACGAGAAAAGATCCGTATTTCGACGGCGACTTCTTTTCGGGTTCGTTAACAGGGAGCCCGGTGACTCGACGAATTCGTAGCACTCTACCCAAGCCGTGGGGGAAGAGAGGGCATCGCGGCGCTTAAATTATGGGAAGGACGAGGCTACCACCTGAATATTGCCTCGCTCTTTCCAGAAGTTATTTTAATTGTTTCCTCGTAGCCAGACACCGATCAGAGGGTGGCCACGAGTCCGCCGGAAACAGCGATATATTAATTAATAAATGTTATTCACGCCCGCCGGGGAATTGCAACCGCGAATAATTGCCGCGAGTCAACTATGCGTACATGGTTTCAACGCGTTCGTTAATGTTCGATGGCGAATTTCTGTGAAAACGATACTCTGCTTCGTAATTACATATTTGGAATGGGATGGAATTTAGCATTAGGGCAGAACGAAATAGGGGTAGAACTTTTTTTTTTTTTATTGTTCGTGACTTCTAATAACGAAGAAAGATTGCTAGATTTTCTCCACTATTAAAAAATAATTCCACAATTTTGATTTTTTCGTTCCACCCTTCTCGGCATAAGATAATTGAATACTCACAATCTGTTTCTTGTAATGTCATAATAATCTGTTAATATATTTTCGCGTGAATGTATGTACAGCCGCAAATAATAATATTAATAATAATATCAATAATATTAATAATAATAATAATGCTTCATTTCTCCTCGTGTATGTATATTTATATATGTATAGTTCCGTGTGTTAATAGTCTTTAGCAGTAAGGTACCTATGTATACGTAGATCGTAGTATGTTCATATTTATAAGGGTGGGGAGCCGATTATACAAGAAATTTTGCTAACTTGTATGCAATGTTTGCTTGTGTGTATCTACAAAGACAGAGGGGTTAAAAGCCTCGTGCTCGCACCGTTTCTCTATAACGTATCAGAATCTGATCGATCGGTTCCTCGATAATGCTTCGCATCTTCGAGATAGTAGCTGTTTAACCTTCGAAGCGAACGATTAGTCAAAGATCGAATCGATTAGTGAAATTTACAAATCGCTAATCTCTACTTAGACTAAAGGGGTGATGGGAGTTTCGCGAAGTTGTATCTTGAATTAATTCACTTCCGACGATTATTTCCCTCGTTTCGTTCGATCTGCAAGCAAGCGATATTGTGCGATTTTCGTCTCGTCGAAAGTATGCCCGTAGAATATCATCACGGATCGGTAAAATTCGTTAGGTCTCGATAGAAAGTCGTCTCAGCCCGATTTATTAGACAAACAAGATTATCTGCGAAGTTAGGACTCGATCTATGCTCAGACATCTTTCTTTCGAGCTTCGAATTGAAAGAGCGTTCGCGATAGCTCATGCAGCACGATTGTTCGAAACGATGACGAACAGTTTCAGGCAACGATTACACCGAAGAACATTTTACTGGAAGCATCGCTATGTACAAACTACAAAAGACACCACTACACTGAGTTCGTTTAGCCTCGAAGCGGATCGGATCGGATCGGATCGGATCGGTGTGTTCAATCAGATCGAAATAGTCCACGTGTTCGTAATCGGTTCCTCGGATCTTCTATTTATTTACACTCGCATTTTTTGTTATCCAGAAGAAAATTGCACTCGTCCGATCAATTCAACGACGCATCGTCAGCCAGCAACGATCCGGGCACTTGTCTATCGAATTACACGACTTTGATTAATTAGCGTTTTTATCGATAAATCGTGTTCACGTCGTTTGGCAAGAACAAAGTTCACCGAACGAGCCTCAGCTTACGGATTTCCAACGCGAGAAGTTGATTGATTTTCTCGCGCCCCTTCGTAGATCTCCGGCTGATTACATCCGAGTATCGCGTTCTTTGATCTCGAATAATTACTTCTCACGTACCAACCCCGTTTCATTCTTTACGACGAAAACGTTTGCTCGCACGTTCTTCTCACAACACCTCGAACCGTTTCTCGAAAAACTGATGCTCGTCGTTGGATAGAATTTTCCTCGACACCAAAGACCGATCGTTACCGGTTATTTCCCTCGTGACGATCTCTTTCGATCCTTCCTCCTTATCGTATCACGCTGGCGAAAACGGTCGGTGAATTTGCGGTGGTTTCGGATTCGGTGGCGGAGGCGTCGCGACCCTTATCAAACCCTGGCCTTGAGACTGACCCTGCGGAGTATGTTGACCCGTTGGCGGACTGCCTCGCGAGGAGGGCGTGTGAGGGCTTGGCACTGCAACCCTTAACGGACCCGTCACCGACAGATTCGTCGCCATTAATGGCGGACTGTGCGCTTCCGACAGACTGTCCGACAGCCGAGAAATCCCGCCGTCAGAGAGTCGAGAAGCATCCGATATCCTGGACATTCCTTCCGGTAACGAATGCTGAACGTGAGGGTGATGGAGCAGACCTTCGTGAGGGTGCAACCTTGGTGGTGGTAGTCCTAAATGATCTGGCAGTCTGAAATTAAAGAAATACACTTTCAACTGGTAGTTTATCCAATAATTATTAAATAAAGAAAAAGGATTTTAATTTTTATGTCCCTTAATTACGCTCACCATAATTGATAATCATCGTAACAGAACGATGTTGAGAAAATTATGAAAAGTTTCATGGAAAATTCAATTGAACAGAAAGGTGTACAATTAAGAGTAGATTTTCAAAAATCATACCTCGATCCAAGATCACCTCTAGGACCCACAGCTTGAAACGGGCTCGTTTCCGTCAGCCTGAAGATTCCACCGCCCGAGATGTTCGGATGATTGTGTTGCGGGCTGTGCGGTCCAAACCGGAAGCCCGTCGGCGGGAATTTGAAGGCCGTCGCGTGGTTGAATCGAAACTGCGATTGCGAAGGATCGAAGCGGAAATTTAAGGATGGAGGCGGCAGGGGACCAAGGGGCCTGAGAGGAACAGGAGATGGTTGATGAGTTGGCGGAGGTGAGGAACTAGGCGACGGAGGCGACGTTGCACCGAGAGAAATATCGGAATCCTCCGAATCGCTACCTCCAGGCCCGGGACTGAGAGTACGTCGTGTATTTCCGTTTCCTGTGCCAGATTGCTGCTGCATTCTGAAACATAACACGTAGAAGAGAAGGTTACATCAAGAAAATTTCCAAGTGAATATTTTCCAAGTCTACCGAGGATCAGTTTCTATAATATGCATCTATCGTCGAAAGGTTAACGAAAGGGGTCACCGATCATTGGTAACAAGTCAGTGATGGCTTGTCGTAGAATAAACGTAGGCGTTGATCGCGATGAGAATTTCAATTCGTCCTCGCTTAGACGGGATAATAGGATGTACGCCGGCAGTGAAGACACTTTGTTTCCAGTCATCGCCGCGGTACGGTCATAATTAATAAGCGGGCTCATCCTTCCCAGGTGCGAGCAAGAATTCACGGGAGAGTAACGACGATTCCCCCGCGACGGTTCGTACAAAAGAAAGATCCAGCTCATTACTCGAGAGATTACGTATAGATAGAGAAATGCCGTGAACTTCTCACGCGACTCATCCTCTGTGCTCGAGATAAATGACGAACGGCCGATCGAAACGGATGTCCCGACTTGTCGACAGGAAAGTGTGATTCATCCTACCATCACCCATTGAGAATTTTTATACGCGCCTAGCAAGGACAACTTGATATCTCAAGACCATCAACGGACAATGTTAACATTGTTAATTAATATGAAAATTTCTTGTCATTTCCGTGTTCTTGGATCAAAGTGATTCTATTAACATCGAAGCACCACCAAAACGCACATTCCCATTAATTAAACTTTCTGCGCATTTAGATAAGAAATTTCTATAAGAAGTAGATAAAGAGTTCTGAAATGATCTGATAGTTTGTAAGGTGGAAACGTTTCCCTGTCGCTCGAGGGTTAAGAGAAAGGAGAATCATTCGGTAGTCTAGCAAAGACAATGAGATGTTGCGGTCGCCTTAAAAGCCTCTTCGCTTCAGATCGATTCAACGCCGGGACCGTGGAGATACTCCCGTATTTTCTTTGCTAATCGAGTTTCGAGCCCGCACTGTTACCACGGTAACACCTCGAGTGATTTCGAACAGGTTCGCTCGTCGAAGGCGAATCGTCGGATCGTCGGCAGGTTGGCTCGTCGAGCTCCCAAAAAGAGGACGCTGCCGAGGAGCCGGTAACATTGAAGCTGATTCACTCTCCCGGTGGAGTTTCAGCTTCGCCTTCTTCTCCCGGCTACCGATCTCGTTCACGTCTTCATCGGACCTTCGAATATTCGCGTCGATTTGCTTCATTTTTGTATCGTATTCTTCTCTGAACGAACCGAACGACATAACGAGACGTCAAATTTTCGCGATACGATTTATTCGATTCCAAAGAATATGGCGCGACACAGAAGAAGCTTGTCGCTGAAGAGTCCACTTCTCACGTGGTGGACCTGTTTTGAAACGCGTTGGACACGGTAATCGAACCCGTATACTCCTCCTCGTCATCCCTTCTCTAATGGCTGTTTCTTCTTTTCCCTCGTGTCTCGCATCAACGGGACACTCGACGCGTTTTAATTATGCCTCAAGACCGCTCTCCTTTGTCTTGCTCCTTTCACGAGACACCCGCACGAGCGGCTGCGACTTATTATGTGCCAGCCTCTCGTTTTGTTCCACTTAATGCACCTCCACCGATCCTGCTCCTTCTATTCAAAGACCGTCTTAATATCGTGGCATTAAAGGTTTACGGTGTCGGGCTGGTACAGCATTAATTTATCCGAATTCGGTGGAATTCTTTCCCCGTAGGTAATTAACGAGAAATAGCGATGAATTTTTCAATATTAACGTATTCGCGGCATATGTTCGCGCGCGGACGCGGGATTCGCGTGGCGAATTCGTGCGGCAAGTCGAAGAACGCGGACAAGGTATCACAGGTGACGCGGTAGTTTCGGCGGTGGCATGATTAAAAAAGAAATTCATCAGCGTCTCCCGGGGGAAAGTATCAGGTGCAAGGAGCCGCGGACGAGGATGCGCCCTGCCGTTAAGTATTTACGCCGCATGACGAGTCACTTTTGTAATCCCCCGTGCGCGTTGTAAAGTATTATGCACGGGGACGGCGACCGGGGCTCAAACCGTGACGGAAGCTACTGTAATTACGCGCAAGATGGTCGTCCTTGCCCTGTCTTGGAAGGCTCGATTGATCATCGATCGAGAAGCTTCAACGACAATGGGAATTTTACCTTTATTGCCATCGCTTTAGCATCTTTCAAACAGATTTCGATTATTTATATCGTTCGAAAGAAATAGTAAATAACTAAAGAAATGTTCATGGTATCAGAAAAAATGTAGGATAATTTGTAAAAGGACACCCATTCTAAATTTCGAAGCCATTCGCCCTTCTTTTTCTCCTCGGTTCTAGTTTCTACGAATCTCTCAAGTCCCCCACAGAAAAAAAAAAAAAAAAAAAAAAAACAGAACGATCAATTTCAACCTGATATCAGAATCGGATCTATCTCGACTCCGTCAAAGTGACGAGGGATATCATTTTAACAGAATCTACCCCGTGTCGAAGAGAGAGTAGATTTTCATGCGTGCTACGAGTCTCTCCTCCGTCGCTACCCCTCAGGGCCCCACAATTTAGAGCAACCCCGTGCCATGCTAAATACCCGGTGCACACAATGGAGAACATATCATTCGAAAATCTGAGCTATAGCAAGGCCTCCACAAAAGGTAACTGGATACCGGGACGAGGAGGAGACGGCATGTGAACAGAGGGCCCGCGATTTCAAGCAAACGGGACCCCCTCGTCTCTCTTCATCTTCTCTCTACCCCTCAACCGTCCTCCGTCCTCGTTTCACCGCTTTTTTTTCATCTCTAGCTCATTTTTAATAGCCGCTAATAGAGACGTTAAAACGATACGGGCCCTCTTGGCCGACTCGGTTCCGATGCTCAGTTCTTTCTTCCTACGACCCCTCATTTTCGCCCCCCTTTACCGCCTTCCAATCGTTCGTCTACTCGGTTTGTCTTTAAAAACCTCTTCCTCCTCTTCTTCGTTCGTCTTACACGGAAAAATAAATTTTACCCCTTAAATAAAAAGTGCAAAGTTATTTTTGACTGTTCTAAATTGGAGTTGGACAGTTGATGTCACGACGTTGTAAGGGATTAAAACGTTGAATATTGGCATTGCCATTACGAGACACGAGATACGTTAGAAGGAAGAGGGCGAATTTAGGGGTGGAAGAGAAGACAGGTCGTTTTTAGGTCTGTAAAGAGGGAGGACGTTTAAAAATCTGCTCAAACAGATCGAGATTTCGGGCTCGACAGAACGGAACAAGTGAACCCGCCACAGTCGATGGATACTCTTTGTTCGTGGACAAACATTTGCCCGGTTTCTCCGGGCAGTTGCTAGGGGGTGACAGGAAGAAGAGCACGATCGACCTAGAAAACGAGGCCACTCTAAACGCCGCGGCGTCCTCTCTCGTTCTGGACGCCATGTTGCGGCCAACGCTTCCCGATCTTTGGCCGGATTAAAATATTGCAAATCATGGGCTACCTGTGAACGACGAGCTGGCCTCTTGTTTTCTTCGTTGCGGTTCTTTGTTTCGACGTACAGGCCTGATCGCGTTCGAAGGGGAATAATTTCAGAATAGAATTTCGCGAATGGACAGATGCCACCATTCGTCTCGTCATTTCCTTCCTTTTCATTTTCTTTCGTGCAACGAAGGTAGCTATACTTGGTTTTAAATTAACCTCTTTATGGAAGCCTAAAAAATGACTGCCGAAGAGAATGGCACATTCCGAAATGATAGCTCAAAAACATTACAACGACATTCTCTTCCGTCTTAGGAGGATTCTGGTCATTTACCGGGAACGACAAATAATTTCCTACAACGGTATAGACGTTTCGAGTGTTTGCGAAGGTCCTCGAGAAAGGCATCTACTACCCTGACCATTCCGTGGGAAAAATCGTCGGAAATTAAATCCTTGCTTCGACCTCCTCCGACGAGGACGTTCCTTCGTCCAGGTCGAGACTAATCCCGTTGTTTTAGGCTGTACCGTAGACTCTTCTTCAGCTTACTACCCAGGAGAAATTACTCCCGGTCGGTTAGTCATCGCGAGCAACCCCGGGGAAGTTCGCGTCCCGAAATGTTGTCCGTTCAACGAGTCGTAGAAAAAATATTTGCACTCAAGCGAGATAAACGAGACAGGATAATTTTCCTTGAGAAACGCGGCGTCTCTGGTTTATTACAGGCTCCGTGTGGTCGGTCGGTGGTTGTGCATCTCGTGGAAGACAATTACCGATCAGCCTAATGAGCCGAGAGGCTAATTAACCGTTTCAATCATCCTTCGAGAAACTTATAGATGGTTATCGAACATCTTTTTCCCCTTCCACTTCGCGTAACGCTACTATGTACCGTCTTTCTTTTCTTTTGTAATAACCATAAACCTCGGTCCGCGTCAGACGTGTTAAATGGAATTTTGTTCATTTTTTTGCCAGTTCGAGATATTTGCACGGTGGCGTTTGGTGGGCCACCGGTCTCAATGAGAATCCGGCGTCTCATTTAATTTAATGAACCGTTTTCGAGAAGCTGCTCGGTACATACATCAGAAATCACTCGGTAAATAATTAATGTGTAATCAGACTCCGTTTGTGTGCGCGAGTGAAAGGGACGAATGGGCCGGCGTTCAGGAGGTAGCAAAAGGGCGCCATCGAGGCAACGCGAGAACGAAGGGTGTTTGCCAGCAAACACCATGAAGTACCTCTTCACGTATTCTAAACCTATGCGTGGGGTTCTTTTCGTTGGGCAAAGTAACGTGGAAGATGGTATCAGAAAAAGAGGAATCCTACCTCGTGCTCGTCTTTTAATTTCTGTCCTGCATTCTCAGGAAATCCGTTGGACAATATTTGCTCGACCAACCCCGTTCGGAATATTGACTGGCGTAAACAAATTCTTATTCTGGTACACTTTCGATGAAGGATCCCTTTATAAGCACTTTACAATCTTGCAGTTTATGTTTGCCAAAGTTTTGTCACAAAGTAATTTTATTCAATTATTTGAAACGAACGAAATTAGATAATAATTCTTCATAGTGGACACTCGTGGCATATAAAAAGT